ATCTCTTCATGCTTCTTTCATGTGCTAAATGCTCAAGGTATTGAAGGGAGCCTGGAATAACAGTGATGACTCAGTCATCGTGACAGCAGGCAAGACACCTGTCACTGCTGATAGTAATGCAACTGTCACCAACCTCCTGCATACTGCACACCACTCCTGCAATTTACCCAGACTGGCGAAACTCCTTACCCAGGTGTTTTGCGTTGGAGACACTGAAGTTACTCAATTCTGAAGGCAAAGATCGCAGTGACAAGTACTTACTCGACTCGCCTTCTTCCCAATATTCACTTTTCCACATTGCACCAAACATACATCCCTATCCTTTATCCATGAAATGCAGAGCCAGTACATCCTATAAATATCTGACTTTACCAACAATGCCTAATGCAAGGCATCTATTTTGTAAAGTGAAATTTCCAGTCTTGGTATAGATTCAGAGTTTTAGGAAGTCAAGAATAGTGATGATAGAACTCTGCTTCAGTAACACCATCACTGTCCGAGGAAGTCTGACAGAAATAAAACTATTAATAAAGAAAAATATGCTTACGTTATACCTGGTTTAAAAGGAAACTGAGAGGCCTTAGGAGAATTTATAAGACTCTCAAATAATCCTCCAGTAATAGTCCCATCTGTGATCATCTGTCCTGCAGTGAGACGATCACACTGCACTGTCTTTTGCATGACAGTCTTTATGCTCTTATTCACATGCTGGTACCCGTCATTGCCCACTAGTTCATGTTTCATTTCTGGAGACGACACACGTGTGTGTCTCTCTCTCTGCACACACACAGGCCAGTGCAGCAGGTCCATTCTGGTGAGCCTCATGACAAAGCACACAAGCAACCAAAAACAGGGAAAACCATTCTTTCTACCAACTGATCAGTTTCTTATCCACTGACAGAGCCCAGCTAGCCCACATGTTCAGTGGCCAACAGAAAACTGATCAACAAAAACCCTCAAATGGTTTTGTCCCACTCTGCCACCAGGCTAGTTTTCCCCAAACCACAACTGTTTGACCCATTTTTCATCTTGCTATGTAGGAATTTCACATTTCCTTTTGCTGATATCTTTCTCAGCAGTTCCGGCTCAGTATCACAAAAATTAGAGACAATCTGGAGGGAGCACCCTCAAGGAATCTGTCATTATTCCTGATAACTTCTTCTGTATTACCCCACATTATGGCTGTCACTGCAGAAATCAGTGATTGTTCCTGAAGGGACTGAGCACTGTGCCAAAGGCTGTTCCTCATTTTACCTTTAGAGCAGGCCTCCACTGCGGGCTTACCCCCTGAGAGGTCACTTAGATCACAAGCGCTGGAAACGTTACTCAGTTCCGGCTGTATCTGGTGCTCAGCCCATGCCCATAGGGCCTCCTAGGTGCTATTTCTGGGCCTTTCATCTAGTTTTATCCAAAGCACTAAGATTCCAGACTAAGGACAAACCAAGGGAACGACTGGTTAGGGAGCCCCTTCCCACTGCACAGGGAACCCCTGTTCATGCTCTGTGGATACTGCAATTCTTCTAACTTCAGCTCACTTAGAAAAGTTAACATCATGGACTTTCGCTGTTTTATTCACAAGAATTTCACAAAAGAGTATTAAATGCTTTGCAGAACATCTGCATTTCCTGCCACACTCCACACACGCACGCTCGCTGGGGATTGAATCCAGGGCCTCTGGTGCTCCCACATCCCCCAGGCCCTTTTTACTTTTTATTTTGAGGCGGGATCTCACTAAGCTGCCCAGACTGGCCTTAAATTTGCAATCCTTCTGCCTCGGCCTCCCAATCAGTGGGGGTGACAGTTGTGCGCCATGGCATTCAGTTGTCTTTAAGAAGCTTCCTCGCCTCCGATCTGCGTTATTCTCCCCCTCTAGCAGTTCCCCACGCTGTAGCTGCCGTGGCGCACTACGTCCTGTCCTGCAGGCCAGGGCACTGTGCTTTTCTGCAGGTGTCCCAATCTGAGCCCCAGGCCGCCCGAGGGAAAGCTACAATTTCAGGGCCCGTGCACGGGTGCACTACAGCCTCTGAACGCTGTCCACAGGCGCGCTCGGCTCCGAAAGTACCCACAGGCTTCCATAAGATTAGCAAAAGGGAATCGTCATGACAGTGAGGCCTCTAATTCATTCAAACTCAGCCAAAATTTCCCAAACATTTCTACAAGAGTCTTGACGACCTAGCTCCTGGCCAGCCAAGTTCTGCCGCTTCCACGTCTCAAACCTCAGTACCCAGCCCACACCCACTGCCCGCTTCCGGGGTTTCTCACCTTGCTTCGCCCGCACTGCCCAGCCGCTGTCCTCGCTGGGCCTGCTCTTCTCCCTTGCCGACATTTTGCGCATGCGCAGACCCTGTGCCTGCGCATGCCCTGCACCTGCTCGGACTCAGCGCATGCTCAGACCCTTCATGTGCACCGCCCTCGGACGGTAGTGTCTTCTCAGCACGACCTTCTGTTACCTGTCCAAGCAGCAGCATGAACTGTGCACAAACCTTATCCTTTAAAGCGTTTACAGATGTTTTGCCCCCTCGCCAAACCCCACGTTGTAAGTACATGGCGATTGTACCCTGCTCTCTGCACTCTGTCCTTGCTAGAAAAGCCTTTCTCCTCCAGACATTGGTTCTTAATAAATATCTGAACCAAGAAGTAAGCCGAGAGACCGAGCAACACTGGTATAGTAACTCTGTCTTTTGCACCTTCGTTGTCTATGGATGCACATAAACTTCACTTCTCTGAGACCCGCAATGGAAAAGTCAGTGTGTATTTACCAAAGAGCAATACATTCGTGCTGTTTTAGGAACTTGGAGTCCTGTTAAAGGAGTTTAGTCGTAGTCCTCCTTGTAAAAGGTCACAGTCACGCAGGCTGCAAAGACTTAGACCTGCACATTCCAAAGGTTTTGTCCTTAACTGCCTGCCCCGAAACAGCACCTTGATTGGCTGCCAAGAAGGCAAAACAATATACTCCTCAGAGCCTAGATTTTGAATTAATACAGATCTCAGTACCAATGGTAAATTTCTGCCTACAAGTCGTACAAATCTGAGCAAGTGGCATAAACTCTTTGTGTGTGAATCAGCCTATTTTCTATTACTGTGACAAAATACCTGAGATAAAAAAGGAAACGTTTATTTTGGCTCAGTTTCAGAAGTTTCAATCCTTGGTCATTTGGCCCGATTGTATTGGACCTGTGGGGACACTTTGGTGGCAACATGCATCAGAGGAGACTTACTCACCTCATAGTGACCAGGAAAGGGGGGACAGCAAAAGTCCCAATACCCCCTGCAAAGTCGAGCCGTTAGGGACCTTACTGCCTGCTTTAGACCACAACCTCTTAAGGTTCTGTCACCTTCCTATTGTGTCGTAGTTTGGTGATCAATCTTTTCACTCACACGTGAACCTTGGATACACACTAGACCCAAATGCAGCAGCTCTATCAACTGTCAGATAAAGATAGTGCTTACTGCAAATGTAAGACACACAGAAAGTGTGCAGTAAATAATGGGGATGGAGGAGATGCTGGTAGCTAGTGGTGGTGAGGCTGATGGTAATGGTGGTGGTGCTGGCGATGATTACGGTGGCAGTGATGGTAAGGGAGGTGGTGAGAGATGGTAATGGAGGTGGTGAGAGTGGTGGTGAGGGAGGTGATAGTGACAGTGGTGATAAGGATGGTGGTGATGACAGTGGTCATGGTGATGGTAAGGATAGTGGTGATGATAAGAGCACAAACTGTAACTCCTAAGGACAAGGATTGTGTTTATCTTGGAATATTCAGCACTGGCAATACACAATCAATATAAACAAAGGTTTGTTGAGCTAATAATCAATTACTCAGTCCAAGAGAAGGCAGAGAAGAAACGGGTCAATACAAACTCCAGTGATCAAAAAAGCTTGCTTCAGGAAGGAGGCACCCAAAGCCAGGGTTTTCCCACAGCTGAAAAGGAAAGAAGTTACTGAGGAAAAAATCATGACACCGAAGTGTGTAGTCTGTGCCAGTGTGGGGAGGAGTCAACAGTTTTTGTTCCACAGGGCGGGAAGTAGGGAGCAGGAACGAGAGTGATTTTCACTTTTCTGCTCAGACCATGCCTGGAGATAAGCTTCCAGCCAGCAACACTCAGCTCCATCTTTATGGACACCACTTGTCTCAGTAAATCATAGTCTAGCTGCTTCCTATAAATACACTGAGAAAGCATAAAAAAAATACGAGTGTGATAGGGAGGCAAACCTGGGTCTGAATTTTTGTGTCACTGTCTTGAGAAAGTCACTTTCTCTTTGAACTTTGTTTAGCTTTCTCTTCTATAAAACACAGCTCATCATCCCTGTCCCAAGGGGCTGAGGTGGAGATTCAGTGAAATAATTCGTGCAAGGTGGTTCCTGAGCATAGCAGGTGTTTAGCAAACATGCCGGGGTTTTTGATAGTGTAAACTGCTGCATTTATGGGCTTGTGCCAGGTCAATGTGGACATTTCAGTTACATGTGTCTGTAGACATGTGAATTTGAGTTTATTGGTCAAAGGGTAATTGAGCTTGTGACATGGAAAGAGTTCAGACAGGGGCAATACGTGGGACTCCGTGTCACATGATCCCCCTTTACTCCCTGTCCTATCCAGGCGAAGAAAAGCAGAAAAGGTTTTTCATTTGAGCAATTGATTAGTATTCTTAATAAGAAATAGGAAGCTAATAATTTGGTTTATTAACCACCTGCTGCACAAACTGTCATGCAAATACCGCCTGATGCTTCCTGCAAAACATTTGAAAACTCTTGTTACTCTGTCCTTCTGCTTGGATTTTCTCCTATAGCGAGATACATGGTAGAATTAATTTCAAGTGTGTTTGTCTGTAAACCAGCCAAATATTTCCTTGTGAATACTTGAGCTCTGTGTGGAACACACACAGCATTGTGGTTGTGAGCACACTTGCTTTTGGTGTTAGATTTTACGCTTTAATCCGTGAATGAGCTTTGAGCTCTGCCCATAGGACTCCCATAATAAACCAAACCTTTCCATTTCCTGCAGGTTCATCCCGGGGACCCAGCCCCCTAACCATGGGGGCCCAGGACACCCTCCCAGTAGCAGCGGCTTTCACAGAAACCGTCAACGCTTACTTCAAAGCTGCGGACCCCAGCAAGTAAGCCCCAGATCCCGTCACCGTGTGGTCTGTGCTCACCCTGGCTAGCAGGGGACACCCCATCACCTTGACGGTATTCCTTAGGCTAAAGCCAAGAAGATTTCCATTCACCATAGCAGGCGACTTGCCTAGAATAAGGGATAAAATTGAATTAGGGATGTTAATGCACCACTTTTAAACAGGTACCAAAACATCCCATGACATCGTACTAACTAGAAATCTCTCTGTTGTGGTTGCTAGTAACAGAAAACCTCAGTCTAATTTTACAACAATCAGGAAGTGTATTGTCTCCCAAAAACAATACCCAGATCATGACTTTTGTTGCCTTTGTCTTCCCAGAATGAAAACCACCCACATGTAAACTGAAACAGTGCATCACTGAAATGAGAACAGAAAGGAAAGCACAGGTTCCCAAAATGTCCACAAGGAAATTGATGGTTTATTTTTTTAATTAAAAAAATTTTTTTCTTTGGTACCAGGGATAGAACTCATGACCTCAAGTTTGCCAGGCAGGCGTTTATATCACTGAGCTAAATCCCCACCCCTAAAAGTTCCACAAGGGAACAAGTAGTGCGTTGTCTTTAACTAAGAAGGACGGAACGGCCCCACGTAAACTAAAATCACAGCACAGGAAAAACTCACCACTCTATTTTCATGAGGCTGATTTCACTCGTCACCACCCACTGACTTGCCCTGAATGCGTAAGTGACATAGTTTCAACGCTTCTAACACACAAAGAACAGCTGGGGTGTGGACCAGACGTGTGCACTGGGTGGAGCCCCTGGGGACCTCACAGGGACGAATTCTCCAGCACCTGCTTCCCAGCTGGCTTTCCATCACTCCTGGATCTATCCAGAGACCTAGGTGGTCCCCACTCCACCGCTCGGATCCGCAGCACCTCGGGTCTCTTACGGGCTGTGCTTCCTGCTTTAGTGGAGTTTTCTGGCGCATGCTGGAGTGACTGGTCCCTTCTGATCCTTCATGATTCCTCAGTAAATCTATCAAAGGGAACCTCCCAGCTGGGCATGGGGAGGGGGGCACAGCTGTAATCCCAGCACCCTGTGAGGCTGAAGCAGGAGGGTGGCAGGTGTGAGCAGTTTAAAGACCTGGTGAAGCGCTGTCTCAAAACAAAAACAAAAGAAGTTAAAACAGAGGCTGGGGTTTAGTGTGAAGGCACTGAATTCAATCCTTAATACAAAAAAGAGAGAAAGAAAGAAAGAAAGAAAGCTCACTCCCCCCTATAAATCACTGTTTCTTTCTTAATAGCCTTCTCTCTAAATCCCACATTTCTCTGTTGTTTGTCATCTGTGCCTTCCCTAGACTGTAAGATCCACAGAGCTGGATTTTTTAAAATAGTGTTTATTTATTTGTTGGTTTTTTTTTTTTGTCCTGTATTCAGGCTGGCCTTGAACTCACTACCTAGCCCCCCAGGCTGCCCTGAGATTTGCAGCAATCCTCCTGCCTCAGCCTCCCAAATCCTGAGATTATAGACATGTATAACCACACCCAGCACACATTGCTAGATTTTAACTGTTTTGTCCACCAGCATATCCTCAGCACCTCAAACAGTCTCTGTCACTGAAAGTTCAAAGTGTATTTGCTGACCCAGTGTGGCTGAGTTACCTCATACTCACAGAATGGCTGCTGTGTGCTCAACAGGAAACACCTTGAGGCAGTTGGAATGGAAAATAAGACTTGCTCATAAAAATAATGCAAAGTCTACCAGAGAAGAAGTACAAACATTGTGCCCAGAGAGATCAGAGTCCTGAATAATACTACGTTTTTAATTCCAAGAGGAGACAGTGCTGTGTCGTCTGCGACCCTGGCATTCCAGTGGTGTAGTGCTGAGCCTTCTGGGGTCAGCTTCCCTTCCAAACTCACCAAGCCTTGAGCTGCAGATGTGTTTGCACCCCGTTCCGCTAACATGGTCCATAGATACAATAGTGGCTCCTGCCCTGGGAGCCGGGAGATCCAGTTTCACTGAAATTCTCAGATCTGATACCGATACAAACAAGCGTTAAGGTCAAAAAAAGGAAAACTCCCTTTAGTGGGTAGAAAAAATATTACGTTTCACATAAAAAATCTCATTCACGTCAGCAGGGGTAAATCTGTAAGTCAGCAAATTGTGACAGTGGAGACACAGAGATAGAATCGAGGACCGTAGAGTCTTACATCGGACCACACAGATTACACTGTCCACCCACCCAAATCTACCCAGTCCTGCAAGTCTGCGGAGACAGGAGCTGTTCTGCTCATCTGTTAAGAATTATCCTCTGCTCAAAAAAATAGTAGTCACAGGGAATAAATGTTTGCTGGCCTAATAAATGTCACCCACTCCCTCGCTAATTTGTTTTTTTTTTTTTTTTTTTTTTTTTTTACCTGAGACAGGGTCTCACTATGCAGTTCTGCGGGATTTTGTAGTCCAGGCTGGTCTCCAACAATAATCCTCCTGCCTCAGCCTCCCGAGTTGTAATTTGCTTTTAAAAGAGAAGCTATAGCCCCTTCTAGGACAGCTCCCAGGTCCCCTGAACCCTCTGGGGTGTAAACGGGGGTTCCCTGCCAGCTGAACGCGTTTGGGTCTCTGTTCCCATGGTGACCCCTTCCGCAGCCCCTGGGATCCAATTCCCAGGCACGGAGATGGCGCTTCTCCTCTCGGGCTGCCATGCAGTGCCCTGCAGGCCTGAGCCCTGCAGGAACCAAAGCAGGCTCAGCCCAAGTCAGCACAGAAATCGGGCGAAGTTAAGGGGTCTAAAAGGTGCAGGAGGACGGCAGCGGTTTGCTGGGGGCAAGGGAGGGTGCAGTGCCAACTCCCAGAAACCAAAATTCACACTCAGAGCGGTGCCCAGGTGCAGCCATCCCTGTCAGAGGAAGGGAGAGACACAGGGCGATGCTGGGAAACTCATCCCACCCCCCGCCTCCCCCCTCCTTACCCCCACCCCCACCCCCACCTTCCCTGCCCCACTCACGCCTGGCCCTAGCGAGGGGTCTTTGAATGCGGGCCTGGCCGCCTCCCCCAGCAGGCTTCCAGGAGTCCAGGAGGACAAACACTAGATCTTCCCTGGCAGTGTGACGGTCTCCTGCGCCCTCTACTGACAAGGTCTAGCCTGGTCCCTCTCAGAGAAGATCCGCAGAAAGGCCCAGCATTGTTTACCTCTTCAGAAGAAGCAGTAAAAGACACCAAGAAACTGCGAGGTGATGAGCCAGTCTCCTGGTGAAACCGGCGCCGTGGATCTGAATCTCGGGTGGAAGCGCAGGGGACCTACAGCAGCCAAAACAACGCTGAGACAGAGCAAGCTTGGAAGACTCAGGCTTGGTTTCAGACTGTTATTAGAGCTACAGCAATCTCGGCCGTGGTGATGGCTGAAAGGCAGACAAAAAAGGTATCAGCAGAACAGGAAGACGGAGCCAGAAGCAGACCCCAAGCCCACGAGGAAGATGAATGTCCACAAAACTTCCGAGGTCTTTCGGTGAGAGGGGATTGTCCTTCTCACAAATGGTGCTGAAATAGTTATTCATGCACACATGCGTGAGACGAACATAGATCTACATTTCATGGTGCATAGAAACTGCACTAAAAATGAGTCTCAAATCTAAAAGTAGAGCTTTTAGATTTAAAACTTCTAGAAGAAGATATAGATGGAATTTGGGGATGTTAGGGTTAGCAAAGACTCCTCAAATAGGACACCAAAAGAATAGCTGGGTTAAATATCCCTTGTAAAAAGCAAATCAATGAATTAAAATTTTTGCTCCCCAAAGTACTCTTAGGAGAAAGGAAAAAAAAAATCCACAGACTCAACAAAATTTCTCTGAATCATTTATATGGTGATAGGTATCTACAATGTCTTAAAATGTAAAATTCAATAAAAACAAAAATCTTGATTAAACGTTTGGCAGAGAATTTAAGCACATGCTTCTCCAAAGCAGATAACTGATAACAATGAGGACAAGAAAAGATGCTCCAAGTCATTAGCAAATTAAGTTAATGATGTTCCACCAATCAGAATAGCTAAAATTAAAAACACACATTTTACCAAGTATTGGTGAGGATGTGGAAGAAACTCTCACACACATCTGGATTTCGAATTGAGAAGACAGTTAAGTAGTTTATTTAAAATTAAAAGTATACCTACCATAAGATCCAGTGATCCTACCCCTGTGCTTACCAAGAGAAATGAGAACACACTCCACAGGAAGACCTGCATGCATTGGTAACACTATCGTAATAGATAAAAACTGGAAAGAGACTGAATGTTTTTCAACAGATAAATGGATTAAAAAAGAAAAAACTGGCATAGCCATACCCACACAACAGCAAAAACAACCAGCTTTTGATTTGTGCAACCAAAAGGATGAATCTCAAAATAATTATTCTGGAAGAAAGAAGCCTGAACGTCCCCCTCTCAAAAAAATATACCTTTTGATTGTGTCATATAAAATTTTAGAAAGCAAACTAATTCACAAGAGACAGAAAGTATCATGACAGCTAGCCAGAGATGGGTATGGGAAAGTTTGGAGAGGGAATAGTCTTGGTTACTTTTCTCTTGTTGCTAAGACAAAATGCTGGACACTCAAAGTTAAAAAGGGAAAGGTTTATTTAGCTCACAGCTTGTGGAGGTTTCAGGTAAGCATGGTGAGGGCAACAGCTCAAGAGGGCAAAAGGCATCAAAAGCAGCAAGAGCAAAAAGGGAGGGAAGCAAGCTTCTTTTCCTCCCTTATAATGTGCAGCCTACTGCCCTCTGGTAGGTGTAGCACCCACACCATCTCCCTGCTCTCCTCTTGCACAAGCTGAGGGTGGTTACAGTGTGAGGATCCTGGCCTGGTGTTGAGTCACTTTGTTGAACTTTCAAACTTCTCCAATTGACACAAGGTATCAACCATTAGAGGAAGATACAAAAAGGAAGGAGGAAACTTTTAGGGATGGTGGAAACGTTTATCTTGGTTGGACAGTGTATGAATCTGGTTGTCAGCGATGGAACAAATGCCTGGCATATACAACCTGA